CTAGTCTTTGTTTGGTCCTGTTCTAGTCCTTGTTTGGTCCTGTTTTAGTCCTGTTCTAGTTCTTGTTTGGTCCTGTTTTAGTCCTGGTTTAGTCCCTGTTCTAGTCCTGGTTTAGTCCTGTTCTAGTTCTTGTTTGGTCCTGTTCTAGTCCTGCTTTAGTCCTGTTCTAGTCCTGGTTTAGTCCCTGTTCTAGTCCTGGTTTAGTCCTGTTTCTAGTCCTTGTTTGGTCCTGTTCTAGTCCTTGTTTGGTCCTGTTTTAGTCCTGCTTAGTCCTGGTTTAGTCCTGGTTTAGTCCTGTTCTAGTCCTTGTTTAGTCCTGTTCTAGTCCTGGTTTAGTCCTGTTCTAGTCCTTGTTTAGTCCTGTTCTAGTTCTTGTTTGGTCCTGTTCTAGTCCTGCTTTAGTCCTGTTCTAGTCCTGGTTTAGTCCCTGTTCTAGTCCTGGTTTAGTCCTGTTCTAGTCTTTGTTTGGTCCTGTTCTAGTCCTTGTTTTAGTCCTGTTCTAGTTCTTGTTTTAGTCCTGTTCTAGTCCTTTTTTGGTCCTGTTCTAGTTCTTGTTTGGTCCTGTTTTAGTCCTGCTTAAGTCCTGGTTTAGTCCTGTTTAGTCCTGTTCTAGTCCTGGTTCAGTCCTGTTATAGTCCTTGTTTTAGTCCTGTTTTAGTCCTGTTCTCTAGTCCTGGTCCATTCCTGTTTTAGTCCTGATTTTAGTCCTTGTTTAGTCCTGGTCTATTTCAGGCTGAGTTCCAGGTACAGTCCCTTACAGTTTAGTTCTAATTTGTGTGTGTGAACGCAGCCAGTGAATTTTTATTTATTTATTTATTTATTTTTAAGTCTAAATTTGTCAAAATTTCAAACTGCAACCACATAATATAATCTGTTTTATTCATAGATATTGAGCGAGAATTATTACTCAGAGATCAAATTAAACATGGTATTTCAGATTTTGTTCGCACTCTTTCACTGTTTATAGGCGCCATTTGGAGTACTTTCCATTGCTCTGAATTGTTAATTGCCATGACGACAGCGCACATTTTTCACTCCTCTGAAACCTGCATCAAGATCGTTCAATTAAAACAAGAAACAAACCGCTATAGTCGACACGAAGACACTCACCTAACAGCGAGAAGGTCTCCAGTTCGATGGCAGTGCGGGGCCTTTCTCTGTACAGTTTGCATGTTCTTCAGATGTTCTCGGGCCTCCAGCGTGGTCCAAAATCCTGCTTCTGATTTGAATAAGAGTCCCCAGTATCCATAACACATCAAATCTAAGGCTACGTTCAGACTGCAGGGCTGAACGCTCAATTCCGATTTTTTTGTGAAATCCGATGTTTTTGCGAGGTCGTTCACATTTCCAATTAAATGCGACTTGTATGTGATCTCCAGTGTGAACTTTAAATGGCCTAAAAGGAGAAGGACGAGGTTTTTGGCCGTGGTGTTTTGTGGGACAGCGGCAGCGACGGCCGTTGAAAGGAACGTGTGGATGTGGAGACGTAGACAAGAGTGGTGTTCATTAAAGGTTGTATGGAGGATTTTTTTTTGTTTCAAACTGTCAGTGAAAGATTAAAATACAATTACAGAGACGCAGCAGCTTTGTAATTATGATGACAAAAAAAAAAAAAGAACGAAAATCTATCAACTGTGGACGTGTTGAGGCCAGATAAACATCAGCCAATAGAAAACGAGGCTCCCTCATTTTCTATTGGCTGTTAGGGTTGTCAATCAAACTCCCTAGTGTAACTGACTTCGTCGGAGCGCGGGGATTACGTGGTTTACGCAGCGGTTCTTAGAGGCTTTTTCGAACTGTCGCTTCCTCGCATTTCGCACAAAGTTTGTCACGACGGCGGACGAGAATCCACGACCGGTTCGCCGCAAAAGAAAGTCAGTTTTTGAGGTCGCTGAAAGAAGAAGAGAAGTGGAAAAGGAGCAAAGCCAAACTGAGGTGATTCTTGGAGATTCCTTCCAGCGATGGCGCGACCGAAGCAGACAAAGGGTCTAAAAACTGACGCGTCGGTCGCTGAATCACTTCTAGACAGGAAACTTCAACAGTGATTCTGAATGTGCACAAGGACTGTCGCTGTATTTCTCTTCCCTTAAAAAAATCCTCTATACAACCTTTAACAATTTTCACCTACTTCAGCGCAGAATAGTGACGTTTGTGGCTTGTTGATAACGTGTAGGTCGGATGGATGCGCTTTGGCTGTTCAGACTGAAGTTGCATGTCAAAAGATCAGATATGTATCGGTTTCAGGACCACATATCCAAGTATATATATATATATATATATTGAAAAATCAGATCTGTGTCGTTCAGACCGTCAATAAAAGATCAGATACAGGTCACATAGGGGCCAAAAAATCGGATTTGGGTCACTTCAGGCTGCAGTCTGAACACAGCCTAACTTATCTTTCCATTACATTTGGATTTTGTGGCGTTAGTGAAGATAAAGTGTTATGTTAAACTGTACGAGGGTCAACTGTGGAGACACTTTTCCATCAGAAGTATTAGTACTGCTTGAGATGTTGAGTTTAATGAAATGTGTTTGAGTCTGTAATTACATATGTGCTCATAACACAATAAAACAGAGTGACCTGTGTGACCTGCACTAAAGAATCCATCTGAATACACGTGTACGTACAAACATTCTCATCAGGAAATATGTTGATTCATTTGAAACTATAAGGCAGAAGTTATTTTCATGTATCATGGAGTTAACCATGAAGTATATTAATAATAGATGTGCTACAGATAAGCTTGCTCGTACATGCGTGTGGTCAAATAATCCAGATGTTACTACATATCATGTCATCTTATGTTTTGTTTTATGTTGATTCGAGGCAAAAAAAAAAAGTAAAATAACTGTCTATGTCTATGTCTGTTTTTAAGGGTAATATAATATAATATTTATTTAGGTCAGTATTCCATTTATAACATGTGCTTGCTCCTAAAATGTTTGTATTTTTGGATTCAAATGAAACAGAAAACACACACTAAGGTTCTTGAAGAGGTACAACTGCAAAGAACTTTAAAATAAAAGTGAAAAAATGCATTGCACGCTCAGATGGCCGATGTGCAAAAGCTTTTTTTTTTTTTTTTTATATATATAATTTTTATATAACGCTTTGATAAAAAAAAAAAAAAAAAAAAAGCCTTTATTTTTATTTTTATTTATTTATTTTTTTCCTTTGGACCACAGTATACTTTTTTTTTTTTTCCCTTTGTAATTAACATAATTGTAATTGCTTTCTAAATAAAGAGTAAAGAAACTTCAGCCATTGTCCTAAAGTTTGAATCATCAGTTTGCATTAAGAGCATGTTTTAAGTTTTTTGGAGTTGTGCTACAAAATTCCAAATCACTAATGAAATAATAATATTTGAGAAGTAGTGATGTAACAATAACCAAAATATCGTGATATCGTATCGTCAGAAGTCTCACAGTATATCGAATCTCAAGTCTCTTTGCATAAATTCAATGTAGTTATGGTGCAGCAAAAGCTAAAAGACCATGATCCTTTGCTGTTTCAGTGCAGAATACATAAAGATATAATGAAGCACTTGTTAATTATTTGTACTATAACAGAACTAAAAGCTTTTCAAGGCATTTTAAAAGGAAAATGTAGCATGTTTTGGTTTTGGTTAGTCTCCACAAAATATCGTAATAAATATTGTATCGTGAGATGCATATCGTGAAAATATCGTATTGAGGTTTGAATATCGTTATATCCTTAAGAATAATGTAATAATAATAATAATGATGAACAGTTATTTTAAAAAGGAATATATTCTCAACTATATCATTTAAAAAGTGACATTGTTGATAAATGTAAATGTATTTTCTGTATAAATCTAAAATGTTGGATCAGTTAGTGGAATCTATAAATAGGATTATCGAGAACTGTGCCTTAAGATAAAGACCTTTTTTAGTATGTAGAGGGTGTGTTCACACTTAATCCCAGTTTAGACCTGATGTAGACTTGGTTTAGTCCTGTTCTAGTCCTGTTTTAGTCCTGTTCTAGTCCTGGTTTAGTCCTGTTCTAGTCCTGGTTTAGTCCTGTTCTAGTTCTTATTTAGTCCTGGTTTAGTCCTGTTCTAGTTCTTATTTAGTCCTGGTTTAGTCCTGTTCTAGTCCTGGTTTAGTCCTGTTCTAGTTCTTATTTAGTCCTGGTTTAGTCCTGTTCTATTTAGTCCTGGTTTAGTCCTGTTCTAGTTCTTATTTAGTCCTGGTTTAGTCCTGTTCTAGTCCTGGTTTAGTCCTGGTTTAGTTTTGGTTTAGTCTTGGTTTAGTCCTTGTTTAGTCCTGTTCTAGTCTTGGCTTAGTCCTGTTGTTTAGTCCTTATTTAGTCCTGTTCTAGTCCATGTTTAGTCTTGTTCCAGTTTTTGTTTAGTCCTGTTTAATCCTGGTTAAATCTGGTTCTAGTCCTTATTTAGTTCTGTTCTAGTCCTGATTTAATCCTGTTCTAGTCCTGGTTTAGTCCTGGTCTAGTCCTTTTTAGTCCTGTTCTAGTCCTGGTTTAGTCCTGTTCTAGTTCTTATTTAGTCCTGGTTTAGTCCTGTTCTAGTTCTGGTTTAGTCCTGGTCTAGTCCTTATTTAGTCCTGGTTCATTCCTGGTTTAGTCCTGATTTTGTCTTTGTTTAGTCCTGGTCTATCTCAGGCTGAGTTCCAGGTACAGTCTCTTACAGTTTAGCTCTAATTTTGGTGTGTGTGTGTGTGTATGAACGCAGCCAGTGAATTTTTATTTCATTTATTTATTTTTTTAAAAGTCTAAATTTGTCAAAAATCTCAAACTGCAAACGCATAATATAATCAGTTTTATTCCTAGATATCGAGCGAGAATTATTACTCCGAGATCAAATTAAACATGGTACATCTTTGTTTGCCTGAGGTTTAGCTGCACCAGTCTGCTGTCTAGTGCGAGGTGTGTGTGCGAGTGTGTGTTTGCGTGTGTGTAAAATCAAGAACACAGGCCACAAACGCAGAATTGTAACAGCTTGTATTTGTGCTCTGTTCTCATGCCGAGAAAATTCAACGGGGGAGGCAAAAAATGTGCCCAAACTGACATGGAGGTCACAAGGTCAAAACAAAACAAAATCCAAAAACAAAATTCAAATAGTCCCCCCGCAAACCCCGCCCACCCTCACATAGGAGTCACTGTCAGTGCCAGTTTTTAAATTACAAGAAAATCAAATGAAATCAGAAACAGCATAGTCTTAAAAAACTATGTACAAACCAATAGAGCGCTAAACAAAACAGCATCGTGTGTGTTTGTCATTATGAGACGGCGCGCTGCAGCCTCGGTATGCCCTTCTGTACAGTGAGAATAATTACAACAGTACAAATTCATAGACTGCTTCTCCACTGCCCGATGAACTGAGAAACAGCATGGCAGTGAAGGGGATCTCTTGAATGAGGGATGAAAACAGCCCACAAGTTAAAAAAATAAAATAAAAGACAAAAGGTATAAAGTCTACACCATGAGTATTTCATTCCAGCAGAAAAAAACTAGATACAAGATGAGATTTGGTGTTTTTTTGGCTCCCGCTTAACCCTAGCCCCTTCACCAAATCCAAGTTTGTTACAGCTCAGTCATTTTTTAAGTCTTTTATTTTTATTTCATTACACCCAAGGCAGAATCAAAGTTACTAAAACAGTTACAGTGACAAAAACAGTTTAAGAGACCCACAATTTAAGTTGGACTGCAAAATAAAAAATAAAAAACAACCTTTTTTCTATTTTTGTAAAATGCCCAGGCATTCTCCAATATTACAAATACTGGTATACTTTTACAGTAAACAAGAAAAATGTAATATATATTCATATATATATTTATATTTATACTAAAACCCCTTCACCAAATAAAAAGGAGGAAAACAATTGTACACGTCGCCACTATGGCATTCAGAGAAACTTTAGAAGCAAACCTGAACAAAATAGATTAAAACACACATACACGCAATATTATTTTACCCTTGTACTTGTCAATACTGTAAACGTATTTAGACCGAGTGCACCAAGTCATTCTTTTGAACTTTTCCTGATTTGTGTCCAGTCTTTTGTTCGTCTTTAGCGTGGCTCTGACCACTCTTCACCGAGGGACCGACTCTCCAGAGCAATTGGATAAAGATCTATAAATAAGTTTGTGCCTTTATATGTACACGAGCATACATATGTACACAGACACTGCTTATTGTGCTACACTACGGTGTCAATTCAATCGCCTCTTCAATGTCAGATTCAAGTCTTAATTTAACATTTCAATTGGATTCATTTAAAAGGTAATAAATAGGAAGATCAATATTCAAGGCACACTCGCATTGAATGGCAGCACAAAAACTGTCCCGAATAAATCATTTTGAGTTGAAGTTTTAGAGTGCCCGCGGTGTGAGCCTCTGGACCGCGGGCACTTGAGTGTGTGTGGTCCCAGGTGTCGCCCTCCAGTACCTGCATGTGTGTGTGTGCGTGTGTGTAAAGTGCAGCTCTGTTGTTCCAGCTCCGAGGGTCCCTGCGTGAAAGTGAAACTAAAAGTGCTGGGGGCAGGTGGGCGGGGCTATGTGGGCGGGGCCAGGATGAGAGAGGAAAATGAAGAAAAGCAAAGAGATGCCGATGAGCCTTTAAGTCTGTATTTAAGCGCACGCTGTCGTCTCTCTCCTACGCAAAACGGTTCTAAACCCGCAGCAAAATTGTCATGATATTTAAATTTATAAATTCACTCTAACAATACATTAAAGTCAGAATTTACGACAAATGTTTGAGATCATTTAAGCACAAAATGCATAGGGGCGATTTTACTTATATGAACTAAAATGATAGATTGGCGTTGGATATTTAAATAGAGAAGCACATTTTGCATTTTTGACATTGTTTTAAGTACGTAGGATGTGAAAGGGAGACTTGAGCTCGCCCTGAGGTGCCCCCGATCTGCTCAGGTCATGCACACACACGACACACACACACGACACATGGCTTCTCCTCTACAGTCTATGGCTTCATGTACAGATGCAGATGAACAGGTGAAAGTGAACGCTTCGTGTAAAGATGCAGATGAAATGGAGAAACTAAAGAGTGGAGTGTTTATCCTGGGCCTGAGCAGCTGCCTTCACTGGGACACGTCTGGTTCTGGTTCTGGTTCTGTTTACGGTCCGAATGACACTCAGTGCTACATGTCCAATTCTCCCGTCGTCGTGTAGAGTCAGCTCATGCTACGATGCCAAAGGATTGTTGTCCGCGTCATCACAAATATTCTACTCTAACATTCTCAGATAAAACGCACTTTCAAACCCAAGATTGAATTCAGCTTCTCTTCAACAAATCACACATTTAGCTTAATATACATTTCCTACAAGCAGCGGCCAAATGAAATTTGTCATTTTAAAAAACTCTCAGGATATCGTGGGTATTTTAAAAAAGCAAACTCAAGGTAAAATAATACAAAATAACCCAAATGCAGAAATAAAAAGTACCTGCACATGCCAGAGTACAAAATCCAATAAATACAGAAATTATTGCACAGTTAAAGGCTCCACAAATGTTTGAACTCAACTGACTGATTGTTTAAAAGAAACGCCACGTGAGGCAGTTTAGACAGCTTCAGTTGTGTTCAATGTTTTCACGTTTTTCTCAGTTGGCAGTTTCTTAGGCAAAAACACAAATGAACCTACACAGAGTATCCAGCTCCCTTTGTCAGTCTGAGTGTGTGGTGAGTGTGTGGGAGCTAGGCTCTCTCGGCCTGCTCGATCTTCACCTCGTTGGTCATCAAATGTTCTCCGTGCCACTTCTTCATGTGTTTCTCGAGCGTGCTGTAGACGCTGAAGGGCATCTGGCAGATGTCACAGCGGTACACCTCTTTACCCAGCTGTCCGTGCGTCTTCATGTGTCGCGTGAGCTTGGAGCTCTGCGCACACGCGTAGTTACACAGCTCACACTTGTACGGACGCTCCCCCGTGTGGCTGCGCCGGTGAACTGTCAGGTTACTACAGTTTTTGAACACTTTGCCACAGTATTCACAGGTGTCACACCTCTTACTGTCCTTGGAGCTGGGGCGTCCTGGACCCCCCAGGTGAGGAGTGCTCCCCCCGCTGGCCGTGCCACTGCGGCCGGACAGACCCCCGTCCAGCAGGTCCCCGGGCGGAGTGGAGAAGCGCAGGCTGCCGTTCTCAGACGAGTGCTCCGAGGAGGTGGCGAAGGGCGATTGTCTGGAGTCAGTGAAGCCTAGAAAAGGGTCTTTGATGAAGTGACGCGAGGCTGCGTACCCCACCAGCCACTGTGAGTACACGTTCTCTGAGGGGATGTGGGGCGCAGGGGGGATGTCCAGGTCCTTCTCGATCTTTATTCTCTTATTGGAGGAGTTGGACAGGCTGGGGCTGGTGATGGGAGTGGGTTTCCGGGGGAACAGGCCTGAGAAAGAGTCGCCAGAACCACAGTTCCGGCCGTTTATGGTGGTCCTCTCCTCGGGCTGGTGGTGGTGGTGGTCCATCTCAGCCACTGAGTCCTCGTCTCCGAGGTCCCGCGGGCCGTCCGAGTTCCTCTTGGAGAAGGGCATCCTCTTACGATTGTCGACGATTAGGTTATTGTAGGGCTGGATGGAGTTCAGGCCTCCTGCCTCCACCATCTTCTCCAGACTGAGCGCGCTCTTCTCGTCTGACGGAGCTTTGGGGCCGTTCTCTCTGTTCCTGTAGAACTCAGACTCGATGCTGAAGTTAGACTCCGGTCGACTCTCGTTCTCCAGCTCCTCTTCCTCCTCCTCCTCCTCTTCCTCCTCGTTGCCCTCGCCCTGAAAGTCCCCGTCTCGGTTCTTCATGCCCTCCCCGGTCACGTCGCTGGTGCCAGGCTCGGGGGAGCTGGTGGTGGACAGTCCATCATCAGAGCGTCCGGTCAGAGAGCCCGCCTTGTGCATGTGCGTCTTCATGTGGCGTTTGAGTTTGGAGGCCTGGGAGCAGGCGTGGTCGCACAGCTGGCACTTGTATGGTTTCTCTCCAGTATGGCTGCGGCGGTGCACCACCAGGTTACTCTGGAACTTGAAGGTTTTTCCGCAGAATTCACAGGACTTGACTTTGTTCTGTGTCTGTGGGGGGGTGGTGCTGTTGGGGGCATGGGCGGGAGGGGCGGCGTGCTGAGAAAGGGGGACTTGGGCCCGGGCTGGAAGGGGTTGGGGTTGAGGAGTCGGTGCATAGGGTTGGCCCGGCTGGGGGACAGGGGGGGCGTGGTGTTGTTGTTGTTCCCTGCTAACTCTCGGAGTCGTCTGGAGAAGTCCATGGACTGGGACTCCATGGCCATGGGCGTGAGGCGCATCACCCGCTCGAAGGCACTGGGGTGCTGGGATATGAGTCCCATCTCCTCCGCGCTGAGGCGCTCCAGCCGGTGGGGGTCCAGGTGGTGACGGGGCGGGGGGCTGACGAAGGGGGGCGTATTGGGAAGCCGGTTCTCCCCAAACCCCGGCGGAGGCTCTCTCAGGAGGGGCCCTGTCATTCGGAGGAGGTGGAAGGGGTTGTCTCCCATGAAGTTGGTGAGGGGTGACTGCGGGATGGCGTCGCTGGGCATGGGCGGGGGCATGGTGATGCGGGGGGTGAGGGCGGCGCTGGAGGGGTTGGACTCCAGGTAGATCCTGATGCCGTGGGTGTTCTGGGCATGCTGCAGCAGGAACCAGGCGCTGGGGAACGGCTGTTTACAACTGGTGCAGATGTAACTGGAGGGCTCGTCTCTGGCGCCTGAAACACAAAGACAAATGCATTTATAGACACACGCTTCACTTCACTTCACATCAAATTATAGCATTTTAAAGAGAAGCACATTTGAAAAGTGTAAAGTGTTCCTGGCCAAAGGGAGACGTGTTGAGCTGCTGTCACAAAGCTCACTCTTCAGACAGGTGCGTTCTCACTGCTCTCACTGAACGGGCCTCAGCGCAGCCACGCTTCAGACAGGCCTCATGATTTCATTTTATTTTTATTTTTGTCTTGTCTACACTGCTGATTTTCTTGCATGTCGGAGAGATGTGTGTGTATCGTCATTTGGGCTTCATGATTTTATGGAGAGTACAGAGTGTCAGAGCGAGTGTGAGTTGAACTTGTAAATGTAACACGTTTTTGCTTATGAGTGTAGAAGTGTAGAAATATGGAGCGCACGCAAGGAACCTATATAACACCATATATATATATATTTTTTATATACACAACAGGAATGCAGAAACGTTTTTGAGGAATTATTTAATTAGTATAGGATTAAAAACATGTACACCACCAGACAAACGTTTGGACACAACAGCTCATTCTTTTTCTACATACATATTACAATTATGATAATCATGATACAATTATAGAACTGGAATTGCAAAAATATGAAGATTTGAAAATGAAAATAAAAATCACACTACCAGTCAAAAGTTTGGACACACCCTCTCATTCCAGCTGTTTTCTTTTTTTACTACTTTCTGCATTTTATATACACATGTGCAAACATCAAATATACAAATCAAGATATATGGAATTATGCAGCAAGAAAATTATTAAATTTATAAATAAATAAATAAATTAATTAATTAATAAAAATAAATAAATAAAAATAAATAAATTAAATGAATAAAAATAAATAAATAAAAATAAAAAAAATATTCAAATTCTCAAAGTAGCCACCTTTTGCTTTGTTGACAAAATATTTAGTACAATTTATTATTTTGCTTCACATATTTGACGTCTTTCATATGTGTCTAAAAAGTAGTAAAAAAAAAAAAAAAAAACATAAAATGAGATTGTGTGGCCAAACTTTTGACTGATAGCGTCATTTTTATTTTCATTTTCAAATCTTCACATTTTCACAATTCCTGTTCTAATTTATGCTCTAAAAATAAATAAATAAAGAATAAATAAGAATAGTAGCATCAGTTTATTCCGGTTTTACATTTCAAACTTACAAAACAAATGGATAATTATGACAGTTTGTGCGTAAAAATGATTTTAAAACATGACTGAGGCGTCCTGTGACGTAAAACAACATCCAAAAAAAGTTTAACAGCATTTTGAATTGAAATTATTTAAAAAATGACTGAATGGACCATATATTTTCCCCCGCTGTGATTAACTCAAATAGTTAATGCACGACGTTGAATAATTAAGCAGCTCATTAATAAAAGACGGTATAAAACATGAACAAACATTTATTATGCGGCTGTGATCACAATTTACCTAAAACGAACGGCGCGTTAAAAACAACAAATGTACGATATATTTTCCTTTCGTTTCTGCTCGTGAAGTTTGGAATAGAAACAAAAAGAAAGAAGTGAGTGAGAGAGAGAGAAAGAGAAAGAGAGAGAAGGATAAAAATGAGGGTAAGAGAGAGAGAAAAAGAGAGGGAAGAGATGGAGAAAGATGGAGGGTGAGTGAAAAGGAAGTGAGAGAGAGTAAGGGTAGAACTGAGGAGGAAAGGAGAAAGAAGGGAGGAGAGAGAGATGGAGGGATGGAGTGAGAAGGAAGTGAGGGAGAGTAAAGGTGGAAAGGGGGAGGAGAGGTGGAGAAAGAAGGGATGAGAGAGTATAGAAGTAGAGAAGGGAGGAGGGGACAAGAGCGCAGAGAAGGAAGGAAGAGGAGAAAGAGAAAGGAAGAAATTAAGAGCAAAGAGAGGGCATGAAAGAGTAGAAAAGTAGAGAAAGGAGGTATAGAGAGAAAGGGAGAGGGAAGAAAGCAAGAGAGTGAGAGAAAAGAGAGGGAGAGAGAGAGAAAGAAAGGAGAAAAAACGAGAGAAAGAAGGGAGAGAAGAAGGCAAGTGTGTGTAAAGTATAAGCAAAAGAATGGATGGAGAGAAGAAAGAAAGGAAGAAAGGAAGTGTAGAGAGAGGGCGTGAAAGAGTAGAGAAGGAGAGAGAGAAGAAGTATAGAGAGAAAGAGAAAGGGAAGAAAGCAAGAGAGTGAGAGAAAAGAGGAGAAGGGAGGGAAAGAGAGAAAAACAAAGAAGAAAAAGAGGGAAGGGAGAGAAGAAGGCAAGTGTGTGTAAAGCACAGGCGAAAGAATGGAGGGAGAGGAGGAAAAAAAGGAAGAAAGGGCATGAAAGAGTAGAGAAGGAGAGTGAGGAGGTATAGGGAGAAAGAGAGTGAGAAAAAAAGAGGGAGAGAAAAAAACGAGAGAAAGAAGGGAGCGAAACAGGCAAGTGTGTGTAAAGCACAGGCGAAAGAATGGAGGGAGAGGAGAAAGAAAGGAAGAAAGGAAGTGTAAAGAGAGGGCATGAAAGAGTAGGGAAGGAGAGAGAGGAGGTATAGGGAGAAAGAGAGGGAGAGAGAGAAAAAAAAAGGAGAAAAGAGAGAGAAAGAGAAGGAAGAGAAGAAGGCAAGTGTGTGTGAAGCAGAGACGAAAAATGATTTGTATTAATTGGATTTGTGTGTGTTTGTGCGTGTGTGTGTGTGTGTGTGTGTGTGTGTGTGTGTGTGTGTGTGTGTGTGTGTGTGTGTGTGTGTGTGTGTGTGTGTGTGTGTGTGTGTGTGTGTGTGTGTGTGTGTGTGTGTGTGTGTGCGTCAGAGCAGCTGTCTCTTTAAAACCTTTTGACATAATTATAGTGGACAGCACATTCACACACTCCTATCTGCTTTGTCTGCACCTCTATCTCTCCTCCTCTCCTCCTCCTCCTCTCCTCTCACTCTCTCTCTCTCTCTCTCTCTCTCTCTCTCTCTCTGCCCCACTAACGTTTCTCTCCTTCTCTCTCTCTCCTTTCCCTCTCTCGTTTCTCCTGTCTTTACTCTCTCGCTGTTTGTGTTTGTCTTTTTCCCTTTCTTTCTTTCTCGCTCTCCACTTTCCGCCTTCCTCCTTTACTTCACCACCTCTTTCTCCTTCTCTCTCTTTTGCTTTCCTCCTCCGCCCTCTGTCTATCTCTTGCTCGGTACTATCTCCATTCCTTCCTTCCAACTCTCTTCTTTTTCTCGGAGAGAAGAGAGGAGAGAGAGGAAGAATAAAAATGGGGGGCAGAGAGAGCCGAGGCAAAGAGAGAGGAAGAGTAGAGAAGAGGAGAGGGAGGAGAAGGAGAAAAAAAAGAGAGGGAGAGAGAAGATAGGGATAGAAAGGAGCAGGAGAAAGGGAGAGAGAGAGAGAGGAGAGGTGGAGGAGAAGAAAGAGGGGAAGATAAAAATGGGGAATAGAGATAGTAGAGGGGAAAGGGAGAAAGAGAGAGAGGAAGAGGAGACAGAGGATAAAAGGGAGAGTGCAAGAGGAGAAAGAGAGTAGGGACTGAGCGGGGGAGGAGAGAGAGAGAGAAAGAGAGAGAGAAAGAGAGAGAGAGAGAGAGGTGGAGAAGGAGAAAGAGGGGAAGATAAAAGTGGAGGGTCTCTCTGTTACCTTGTCTTATTTCTCTCTCTTTTTCTCTCCTTCCTCTTTTCACTCACATCCACTCTCTCCTTTTTTCTCTTTCGCTTTCCTCCTTTCTTTCCCTCTATCCTACATCCCTCGCTCGGTTACTATCCTTCCATCTCTCTCTTTTTCTTTTTCTCCGTTACCTTCTCTTTCTACCTCTTACTTCTCGCTTCCTCACACTCTTTCTCACATTCTTCCTCGACCTGTCCATCCTTTATTTTTCTCTCGTTTTCTCTCCTCACCTCCCTCTCCTTTATTTTCCTCCCTCTATCCCTCTCTCGCTCCTCCTTTCTTTCTTTAAGCGACCACTCACAACCACTTTCTCTCTCCCTCTCTCCTTTTTTTCCTCTTTCGCTTTCCTCCTCTTGCCCTCTATCCTCCGTCTCTCGCTCGGTGACTATCCTTCCATCTCTCTCCTCGCCTCCCTCTCCTTCCTTTTCTCTCTCTATCCCTCTCTCGCTCCTCCTTTCTTTCTTTAAATCTTAATTTACTCCCAAAACCTTAAGCGACCACTCACGTCAACAAACATCTCTCTTCCTCTCTTCCTCCACCCCTCCTTCCTTTATTTCTCTCTCTTCGCTCTTTCTCTTTTCTCTCCTCACCTCCCTCTCCTTCCCCTTCTCTCTCTATCCCTCTTTCACTCCTCCTTTCTTTCTTTAAATCCTAATTTACTCCAAAAACCTTACGCGACCACTCACGTCAACAAACATCTCTCTTTCTCTCTTCCTCCACCCCTCCTTCCTTTATTTCTCCCTCTTCCCTCTTTCTTTTCTCTCTCCTCACCTCCCCCTCCTTCCTTTTCTCTCTCTATCCCTCTTTCGCTCCTCCTTTCTCTTTCTTTAAACCCTAATTTACTCCTGAACCTTACGCGACCACTCACGTCAACAAACATCTCTCTTCCTCTCTCTCTCTCTCTCTTCTATCCCTCTCTTTTTCTCTCCTCCTTTGTCATTCCCAGTTCCGCTTTACCTTTTGCATCTCAACAAAAAAAAAACACAAAAAAACAGATGAACTTTGCAACGTTTTAGTCGCGAAAAGAAAGAAAAAGGAGAATAAAAACATATTTCGGTGCGTCCAAAGTGGAAGGAGGAGGAGGAGGAGGAGGTGAGGTTTTATTTTGGGCGAGCGAGAGGAAGAGTGTGCGTTTGGGCGTTTGGGGGTCCCGGGGGAAGGGGGAGTCCAACGCAGATGGCAAATAAAGTACGCAGCCCCAGGCCAGAGCACATTATGCTAATTCTAATGTCAGCTGTACTTTAATATACGGCTCTATTTAATCACCCCATTATTTCCTATTTCCATATGAAAAAACACAAGCGCCCAGACACACAGAGAGAGAGAGACCGGAGAGAGAGATGAGGGAGGAGAGGGAGAGAGGGAGAGAGG